GGAGCCAGAAATCTTTCTGATTGAGAGGGGAGAAAATACTTATTTCCCTCATTAAAATGCAAATCAAGTTATAACATTTTTGACATGCGTTTTTCTGGATTGTTTTGTTGTTATTCTGTCTCTCACTGTTCAAATAAACCTACCATTAAATTATAGACTGATCATTTCTTTGTCAGTGGGCACACCTGTTGATAGTTTCGGTAATACATCTTTTATACCAGATATTAATTTCTGTATTTTATGTATTTTATGTGCTGTTTTTCCAAACATCTGGCTAGTTTATCAGTTACTCCCGCAATGTATGGTATTTTGATCGCTTTAATTACTTGGGAAGTTTCAATGCTCTTGCTATATGATTTGGTTTTGGTATTCAATGCCCTGTTGATTTGTGCATCATTGTAACCGTTCAAAGCGCTGCAAATGAATTTGCTGCAAATGAATATGTGCACATTCCACTGGATTTTCAGATTATTCTTTAATCTAATTTTAAATTCAATAAAACGATGGATTAATTATTGTATTGAAAATCTGCATGGACCCGTAGATAAAAAAATCAGCGTGTATAATCAATGACCATCAAAATATGTTGTTATTATTTATATTTCCGTATACTTGTTCCTTTGGCCATTAAGTATAGAAGTAAATCACATATATTTCCAACATATGTTTAATATACTTTTTCACGTGCCAATTATGTAGTGACCTCCACACATAACTGACAGTTATGACCAAATTAGCATCTGATGAGTCAGGATCTACCTTCACTCTCAGACAAATACCCCGATTGCTGAGCACATGCAAATTGCAATGTTGCTCTGAGAGGTTAATTGTCAATCAATCTCTGCAATACATAGATGTTTACTCATCTTGATTATTCGTTTTAATACAACAAAAATGCGTAGTTAATTTTTAGTCAACAGAACACTCTTTCAAATCTTGATTTGAAGCTTTCGTGACTGCAGGAATCCATACTCTTTGGTTTGTATTGCGCCCGAAACGTCGTGATTTATTTTATTTTATACCTACGTGACTTTACCGAAAAAAACAGAGTACTCTTTCAAATCGCAATATGTTGTGATTGTTTTATGGAACGTGGTGTTAAATAAGCATTACAGACTTAATAACGTGTTATGCATAAGTGCAATGTAGATTCAGTAGCTATTCATTTTCTTGAAGTATGGTTTAACTAGCTTTACAACCCGGCTTCGCCCAGCCGCCTTTGTCTCCCCAATGGCGATGTTCACACACCACACCAGTTACTCGTTTGAGGCTGAGTCGTCCTAGGGGAGGCACAGGAACGGTTGAAATAATCATCACCGGTGGTGATGAACTCGGGTCGCCGGGTTCGTAGCGCAGCGTAGCGCTAACCACTACACTACAATGCGTTACGCTTACACATGTGCGGGTCACATGACAGAGTTTACGTAACAGCTCACTTGCCGTGCAAAAAATATATGCATTAATTAGCTCCCCCCCAAAAACCCCCCCCCCACAAAAGTGCATTTTAATAATTTTTGCATGGTGTACAGTCTGTAAAGTACCCACATGGCAAATTTAAAGTTTGTTGCATGTCGGGAAGTACGCTAAACATTTTGATATGGAGATGTACAACAATATTATATATTTAAAAGTGTTTTTTTTGTAATATGTAATTTTTTTTGTTAAAATTCTACTAAACGAAGTACTACTCTATACATTCTATACACATTGTAAGGATCCCTTTAAAATGTTTCCGTGTTGCTCACGGTCCAATCTTGGGTGCACTGGGTCACTGTTGAATAACACATTTAGTTACAGCCTCCAGCCATCGTGCAAAGAGCTAACGTGTATTTTGTGCCTGAAATAGCTCTGGTTTGTCTTACAACTGCTGATTTGTGTTGACCATAGGTCAGGTTTTTTGCGATCTTCGTAAATGTGTGAGCTCTCTAGAGTGGGCAATCGGAATCACACCTTGTGACTGCAATTCCCAACTTCCACGTCAGGTGCAGTTGTTGTTTTTACACTAAATATTATCCTGTCTTCTGGAAAACTAAACCCGACTGCGCATCCAACTATGTTTGGTTGTTGTCGACCATCGCAAGCCCTGGAGGCAACTGCAATGAAAACTCCACGTTCATCTCCACAATATTTCCGGAGCACTGTGCTTATAACAAGCGGCGCGAACATTTCAGCCGAGCCAAATCTCTCAGCGTTTTGCAGGTTTAGAGATTTCATGTCCATATAATCTTTGTTGCAGCAGTGTTAAATTTATCAAAGGCTGTTAATGCTTGTGCTGTTTTTCCAGTGGCACTGCTTATTAAGGCTTGACACGTTGTAATGTGGGAAGGTTGGTTTGTCGTGTCATGCTCGCAGTTTGGCCTGCCGTCTTTTTTTATTCACATTGAAATTTCCAAAGGGTTAATTTTATTACAGCCCAACTGTGGACATTGACTGATCCTTTTGAAATTACTCCAAATATAATGGTTAATGCACAATAGGGCACTTGCCTTTGTGTGTTATTTCATACTCCAATGTAGTGCTACATTTATTGTACACGCTATGGTAATAAATGTTGAAATAAAACAAACCATAATATGGCATGAGTGCAAGGATCATTAAATTATGTTTTAAATAACTTGAATAATAATACTAAGACAAAATGGCATTGGCAATTTGTGTCGGCCGTACTGGCTATTTTTCTCAGATGAATGAACCACATTTCCATTTATATTATACGTGATCATCATGCAATTTTAAAGGCAGTGATTGCCCTTTTTGCATGACAAAACAAGTGTGATGATTGCATCTACACTTGCAAGCACGACCGTTTCACACACCCTGTGAACAGGGCCAGATTAGCGCCAGGGGCTTCAGCGACTTGCAGACCAGGGTCTCAGATTTTGAGGACCTCCAAAAAATGTATACTTATTTATAATGATGATAAATGATGGTAAATCCTGTGGGTAATTTGTTGATTAAGACCATAGCATCACTATGTGTATTACTTGGCACTTACATGCCAAAATGTAATTAGCTTTCATTCGTTTTAATTTCATTTTAGCTTTACAATTCATACATGACATTTAAACACCATCTAGAAAGGAAATAACCAAAGTAAACAACAATAAAGTGTTTGGCATCAGGCATGCACACATTCACTGTTATATAAAAAAAAAAAACAGAAAGGGGAACAAATGGAATATAAATCTTGACTTAAAGCTTTCGTGACTGCAAGAATTCATATTTTTAGGGTCTTTCAGTAAAGTCACGTAGATAGGTTCAAAGAAAATACCAAAAAACTACGACGTTTCGATCGCAGCACAAGCGGTCGTCATCAGGAAAAGGGGGTGAGCCTCTAAAGGCAAACTGTTTATAAAGGTTTTAAAAATGGTCATAGCCCAAGTGTCAACAGCATGGATGGGGTAGCTAATGTTAATGTAAGGGAAGTTGCTGCTAGAGCTACTAGAGGTGATGGTAGTTGTTGGTAGTGATGGTGCTGGTGGTCGGCTTCCACCAATAAATGGAGTGGGTAGTGATGGTCCTGGTGGTTGGCTTCCACCAATTAAAGGGCTGCCAGGTCTAAAATGGAAACATTACAGCCAGTTATGACTTAAACTCGTTGATAACGTCCTTCCAGTGATTGCTGAGTTTGTACCCATCTTCTCGGTTGAAATTGTGTCCATGTCTGTTTATATGGATGGCTTCATGAACGAATCTTTGTTGAATCTTTGTTGATAAATGGAATATACATATACGGGCCCCCAACGCTGTTATAACAGCCCCAGGCCCCTATTAAATTTAATCCGGACATTCCTATGAATGCAATTTTCAAGCATCTTCAGTGCATTCAAAACCAGCTCGCCCGCTCAGTGCCCAGCACTATACAACGACCCTTTCATCCATACCTCAGACATTCTGAATAAACTTCACAGGCTTCCAGTGCAACGACGCATCAAGTACAAAGTCGCTGTCCTCCGTTACAGAGCACAAACACGCGTCCTGGGTCAACCGGCCCAGTTAACTGCCGACGTCTCGTCGTACATTCCATCTCATAACCTCCAGGCTGCCTCAAGTGGCCTCCCACCGCCTTGCAAAGCACCGTCTTTCCAACCAGAAAAGGCAGACGTTGCTTCTCTGTCGCAGCTCAAGTTCTCTGGAATGCACTCACTCTGCATGTTGGCACGGGTGTTGTCGACCTTTTAACTTTTCTCTGATATTAATTTATCCTCCCGTCCATTTTCAATTCAATTGTGTGCGCGTCGCGAATTTGATCAATGTAGGAATTAATCTGTTACCCCTTTATCAATGCACATGCGGTGTATTTACACGTGTAATTTTATTGAAACGTTCCAGCTTGTATAATCTTGCAGGCAGTACTGTGCGATCCTTGTTTATGTGAGTTCGTCATGGATGATCTGAAAACAGGTGCATTTTGAATGCCTGTGCGAGCATTAGTACAAATTTCACTTTGGACTGGAATAGCTAACTTAGTGCCATGTATAACTATCTATAACACATTACTCACTTTTATACAAACACTGATTTCAAATATGAAATAAAAAAGATGGCACAAATGTGTTTCCCTTTGCCTCATGACATTCAAAAGCTGGACTGGTTAAAAATCTATGAGCATTATAGTTAATGGAGGCTTCTTGTTATACAGGCACAATGCAATTTCAGCTTTACTCGAAGCCACGTCTTTGTATACCATACACACCATATAATAGTTGAAATATGTACACGATTGGCACAGTCGGCTACGTACGGTGTAAAAGAAGTTCAACATACATATAGGTTTTTTAAAAACCTTTTTTTAAAACTTTTTTTGTCCCAGGATAGGATTTCTCTTTCTCTCGGCCTACTTGCAGATGTATGCCCCGCTGTTTGCACTGTATCGCATAGCTGCACGCTTCCCGAAGGAACCCATGCTTGACCCTACCATTCATTCGCATGTCTCATCTCTGTCTGTCTCTCTCTCTCTCTCCCCTGCCCACTACCGTGCCACTGCGTCGCTGGCGCAGACGGGGGCCCTTCCCTCCCGCTGGTGCGCGAGGAGCCCGGGGCCACGATGCCAGCCGTGGACCCTGCAGCGCGTGAGCAGCAGCTGCAGACTGAGCTGCTGCAGCTGAAGCAGCAGCACCAGCTTCAGCAGCAGCTGCTGCTCGCAGATTTCCAGCAGAGGCAGGAACAGCTGGCCCGGCAACACCAGGCTCAGCTCCATGACTACATCAAGGTGCGCGAGGTCATCCTTCGTTGAGCTGTCATTTTTGTTTGTTTTCGGGGTCGCGCCGCGTGCGGTTCTGCGCGACGTCGGACGTCTCGCCCCACGTGCCGGGAGCCGGGAGTGAAACGTTGGAGGGCATGCCGAACAACCACCGCATTAGAGTCCAGAAGGAAAAAAAAAACTTTGGAAAATCGTACGTGGCAACCGTGAAAACCTACGCAGTAGCCTTTGATTTTATTAAATCAGCATCGTATGGGACTCCTCTCTACTGGTGGTTCTGCCACAGTGGTGGAAATTCTACATGCCTATGACGGGTCAGTCAAATCATAGAACTACCACTGTTAGCTTCTCTGAGAATGGCGAAAAATTTGTATTGATCTTGAAGGGCTGATGGATTAATTCACATAGCGCCCTGAGAAGTAATTTTTTAAGACGCTTTATACATTTTAATAATTATTATTATTATTCAATTTCCGACCGCAATTATGATTGTGAGGCAAATTGTCCACCTCAGTACCACTCAATTATAGAACTCAGTCACGGGAGTAGTTAGGCCATACTTAACCACACTGGTAAATGCCAGTCAGTGAACGGAGGGCCCAGGATCATTTTGGATAGTGCTCACCACTGATGTTAACCGTGATAAGGAATCTAACGTAGTGTCCCGCATTCAAAGGCCGTGCATTAACGACAGCACCACCTCTCCCAAGTGATAGGATTATTAGTGTTCGATTATTTTAATTGAATGTAAGAAGTATAATTCTATTGCAACATTATGGACACCTGATAAACGTTATGCAGTTGTTCGTGTATGCAGATTCTCTCTGAAAGACACTCCGTGATAAACCTGGTTTATTCAAGACTGCTTAAGGAATGGGGCTCCGTTGCTAAGGTCTGAAATGCTTTTGTTTTGCCTCTTGCTTTCTGACTAATGCAACCTTGGGGATTCTGGTCCCTGAAGAGACACATGACTGACCCAGAATGGGTATATTTGACGATTTATTCCATGCAAAGCATTTCAAAGGACAAGACTATAAATAATCTATTGTCTTTATTTGACCGATGCTCACGCTATGTTGCCGCTGTGGTTATTATGTTTTTCAAGGCACAAGAAATGTCAAATCAAATGTTTTTTCCCTAACAAATGCCTGTGGCCTGTCCACCATGTAACATTTCATTGGCCCAAAATGCAATATCTCTCCTTCAAACGTCCTGCTTAAACTATTCATTATTCATCATGGCCTTTTCCATACAATACATACATCATCTCCAATCATGGAACTCCACAAGCAAGATAAGAATGATTTTTGCAGTCATCATTGTTTTTATTAGGTGCTGTTATTTATGTTGTGAGAATATGGAAATATGCTCGTGAAGACTCAAATAAATATTTAAGCCATATACATAGTGGAGATTCCAGAAACATACTTATGTGACCATCTGCTATTGTATTTAAGTCACCTAGTGATGTTAATTTCACAAAACATAGATGACACCAAGCTGTTTCAAATCCTAAATGCATATGGAAAAATAATTTATCTCTTTGGTGAGATACTTATTTAGTAATTGTGGGTTACAGAACTGCCCCTTGCACCAACCTGTGTTGGAAGGAAGTTTGGGTTCAGCTCGACATGCTCGGCACTGCCACAATTGATATACGTTGACAAAAGCCTCTAGTTGCTGTTTTGTATTAGAGCGTCGATTCATAAATACACACATCCACTTGTGAGTCTAAAATATGAAGGCCCGACCCCTGCAAGATAAAAACAAACATGCCAACGTTACGATATTAACCAGCAGATCTATTCATTGAGAACCGTTTCAACGAGGGCTAAATTATTTGCCAAGGTTATTGAGTGTGCCACGCGCATTTGTCAGAGACTCAATTGAGCTGTAAGCACTGTCAGTCAGTTCCTCTTGGCAAATAATGTAGGGAATGAATGTGCTTCTCACTTAGCATGCTGAAATATTTTGTATTGCATGTATTTTGGAGATGCACAGAAGCTGGTCTTATATATAATTTGTTTTGGCTCTTTTCATCACTACCACTAAATGGGGTGTTCTCGGTGGTGAGATCTTAACTACCTCGCCTGGTATACAGGAGGTTATGGTTTCGACCCTGACGCCTGCTGTATATTTGGAGGTTGTATATTTCCCCCGTGGTCATGTGGATTTTTCTCCGGTTACCCGGGTTTTTTTCCTTCCACATTTAGAAACATGCGTTTAGAGTAGGTAGCTGCTATACATTTCCACGTGATAAGCCACTTCGTTGAGCTATCATTTGTGGCCAGGTCGCTTCTGAAAAGAGATATATAGCTCAGTGGGCATTACCTGGTAGAATAAAACGTTTTTCAGTTGAGTTTAAATGTGTGTACTAGGCTCGAGCATCCTTGAACACTGTCGTTTGAAGTGTAGTTGATAATTAGTCTATTGAGTCGTCAAATATTTGTTTAGGGTATCTTTAACATGGTGAGAATTTAAATAAATATTTATATTTGCATAGTAAAAGCAAGATATTTGGCTATTATGGGCACGTGTTCAATATATGTAAAGTATTGATTTAAAGCTTTCGTGACTGCAGGGATTCATATTCTTGGTGCTTTCGGTAAAGTCACGCTTAAGGTGGCTTTCAGACCGCATCCATTATATTTCGTCTCCCCCCTCCTCTTTTCCGAACATAGATGGACTCGTATTCTTGGTTCTTTCGGTGGGGTCACGTGGGGGGGGGGGGAAACAATAAAATAATGAAGGTGTAAGGCAATGGAGTTCTCGCGGCGTTTCGACTGCAACACGGGCGGTCGTCGTCGGGTGTGAAAACCACAAACCACAACAAGAACCTGATGATGGTTGCTTGTGTTGCAGTCGAAACGTCGTGAGGGTTTTGTTGTTTTGTATTTTTGTTGTTTTGTTGTTTCCCCTCTGCGTGGCTTTACCGAAAGAACCAAGAATATGAATCCCTGCAGTCAGGAAAGCTTTAAATCAAAATAAATGGACTCGTCCATCTGAACAAACTGTCAAATCTCTCTCCGTGGTGCTAACGTTAAAAAAACGCCACTTTTTTCAAATGTTCTTGTTGTGGTTTTCACACCTGATGATGATTGCTTGTGTTGCAGTCGAAACGTCGCGAGAATTTTATTGTTTTATATTTTTATTATTTTATTGTTTCCCTTCTACGTGACTTTATCGAAAGAACCAAGAATATATATGTAAAGTAGTTTTTTGCACCAGATTAAGAGGTTACAGATAGGGAGACAGGTGGTGGAGTACAGAGCCGATGGCAAGAAGATGTCAAATGTGAATAAACATGTTGCATAATTGGTCCAACATACAATAAATATAACTGTAAATACAATGTGTTGGCAGCACACATTTGTTCGTGATGATTGTAGTGATGGCTTATGTGAACTGAACATTATCTTTTTTACAGAAAGCTGCATTTATTGGCAGTCGATGTGTTTACAAGAAGAGCCAATATTTGTGTTCATTTGAAGTACAATTAATGACCATACTAGGATGCATTAGGCTTGCTTAAAATGTGGCCTTTTGTTGTATGGAATTGATTCTGGTCGATGCAATTGTGTGTTTGTATTACAGTGGGGCTTACATTTGTATTATGTATAACAAATGTGAGTCCACATCAATAAGAAATAATCATTGGAATGTATTAATAATCATCATCATCATGAATTTATACCCTGTCATGCCCTACTGGATGAAGGGCTCCCACTACCATGTCAATTATTAGAGTTGTTTGAACATACTTCACCATGCTGGTCAGTGCAGGGTGGTGAAGAGACTGAGACAATAACTAATTTGCTATGAGTAAAACAATTACGTGGGAAACACAGTGTGTCCCAGCCCAAACACCTACCCATATCTGTCCCTCCACATTAAAAAAACAACATTTAACTGAAGAGACGGATAAGGGAAGGCGTCGTGTCGACCGCTTATTTATTTCATGACTAATTTTCGTCCACGGCGACGCTCATGATTATTTTGCGTCGGGCATTATTTCCTTTTTGTCGATCGCCTCTCGAACACAGAGGAGGAGGAACACCAATTCGGTCGACGTTGTGATTTACACCGCGCGAGTCTTTAAACTCGAGCTCCGTAGCGGAGGCTCGAATCGGCAGGGATGTCACCGGCGCTGTCGCGCTCTACCGCGGCGCTGGTGCGTGCATGCAGCAGCAGCAGCAGGTGCTGGCGCTCAAGAAGCAGCAGGAGCTGCTTGCCGTGCAGAGGCGCGAGCGCGAGCGGCTGGAACAGCAGAAGCGGGAGCTGGAGCTCGAGCTGGAGCTCGAGAGCCAGCGGCACGAGCAGCACCTGCAGGTGCTGCGCAACAAGGAGCGTGGGCGAGAGAGCCAGTGCCACGCCAACACTGGGCTGCCAAAGCAGCGAGGCAAGTCGAGATCCCTGTCTCCTCTGCTGCCCCCCCCCCACACACACCCCGTTGCCCCCCCCCCCCCCCCCACCAGACTCTCACCATAGCACATTTCTCATGCACTCAGCCTGACTTGAGCCTCCGTCCCGCGGTCGACTATTTTACAATAAAAAAAAATATACGAAATGTGTTAATTTGGTGTTCTTATCGCGTACGAGGTTTTCATAGTGGCACAATGCGTCACGGACATACACAGTCTTCCTGTAGGAGGCGGTGTTGCTATGTGATTTTATCCAGTTAAGTAATTCGCAGGTAATTTTATTTTTATTCGGCAAATTTGGACCGTGATTCCAGCACTCACGGCCTCATCTTTTTACAAATGGTGATACAGGATCTGTGACGTCCACCGTCGTGTAGATGGCACGACGTATATTTTGGTGAATGCGCTCACAGTATTGACCAGGCTGGCCGCCAGACTCGAACCGTGAACCTCCGCCACAAGCAGCTAAACTGATAATGCTCGCCCATGTCACCGCATCAGCACTGCCACTTATACAACGGGCAGTCAAAAGTTCAATTTATAGCTGGAGTATCATTAAAAGTATGCAAATACTTTTATTTATGGATTGATGCATTCCATTTGCAAATGTTGTACATGTTCTTTTGATTTTTTATTGAAATATATAAATATATTTATGGATTTGGTTTGTGGACACTGTCACTAGAATTCGGACTGTTTTGTTGTGACTCTTTTAAAGCGTCAATAACTCGGCCCTCCCCTGAAAATGTAAAGGTTTTAATTTTAATTAATTAGAAAGAAATGTTTCATTATTTAAATGTAAACAATTTTCATCCGGTACTCCATATATACATTTATTTTCCTTTTATTTTACTATTTTTTTAACAAGTCTATTTTTTTACGTAATCATTTTTGTTTTAATTACTCAGAACAAGACAATGTAAATGTATGCGTTAACCTTGGCACTTTTTCTCACATGCAACTGCAAGTGTAATAATAATAATAATTGAAGTTCACACTTTTGTCTTTTCAAGTTGTGTCTTAACCTTATAATTGTTTAATTTCATAAATATATATATATTTTTAATGTCAATTTGTTTTATCTTGTCGTATTATGCTTCACATTATCTTGTGGTAATCACATAATATTGTAAGTATATATGTTGAACTTTTTCACACCGTACGTAGCTAACCGTGCTAATTTGGAGGTGCGGGGGAAGGACAACAAATTAAACATAAATAAACAGTGATAATAAAAATTTGATTTGAATCTAGATTTAAAAGTGCACAGCTCCAGTGGCTTCCAAATATCAGAAAGAAGAACGTTCCAGATAGCCGCAGTAACGCATCATTCAAGCTTGAGCCATCGGCTAAAACAAGTAGCTTCTTTCTTGAATTTAGCTGCTTCTTTTTTACAGACAGGTCTTCCACACAAGCGCGCACCTGCAAGAGCAATTTTTTCGAGCATTTCACACGAATTAGACATAGCCCCACATTAAAGCCCGGCTCAATGAGAGTTACAAATTAGGCACGTGTTTTACGACCATATTTTTTTCCCCTTCGCGATGAGCGATAGGCGTGCACTGCGCTGCTCTGCACGGTCACTGCTCGGGTTGAGGTCTCTTTAGTCACGCTTTTTGGTGCTGACCGGCCGTCGCATCACGCTGGATATTTCGAACAGGTGCAGTGGCAAGCTCCGAGGTGAAGCAGAGGCTACAGGAGTTTGTTCTCAGCAAAAAGCAGAGGGAGGCGGCTGGAGGCTCGATCAGCATACCCCTGTCTCAGCAGTACAAACTCTGGTACCTGCCCACCCACCACTCTCTAATCTCGCATGCAAACATTGGTACTTTTCTCGCGGGCTTCTTTGTACGTAGCTTTGGAGGTATTTGATTGTATTTCAATGGTTCATTCGGCTCAAGTAATTTTTTTTCCCATTCATGTGAAATATAGAATGTTAAAAATGTCGGAGAACGTATTATGAACATGGGACTATTTAGGGTTGATGTTATGCCACTTATTGGGTAGGGTACTATGTTTATTAATCAAGCAGTGTTTGCTATTTGAGTTAAACGCATCCTAAATGTGAGGGTGTTGTGACTAAAAAAAAGATGCTTTGCAAGGATGTTTTTTTCTCTCTCATCATGTGGCTCTCTTCGCACAGTCGTGGTGCTAGCGGTGCTACACCTTTTCTGTCGAGCAAACCCCTTATTTTCACTGTAATAGCCATGCACAGCTGCAAGAGGATAGCAATCTCCACAGGTCACAATCTGGAAATATACATCCCGTAACGTTTTACGTGCCAATGCTAAAATCTTCATCTTGGTGGGGCAACCGGTGATGCGTTACGTGTGCAGTCTGTGTACCGCTGACAGAAAAAATAGAGATTCTTCACGATCAATTTTCAAAACTACTCCACGTGGATTCTCATAACTTAGAATGGATTGCGTATGTTTAGGTTCAGTACAAAGCAAAACCCTCCCATGAGTTGATTGCCAATGTTGTTCGAGGCTCCCCTGTCAAGGAATGCGGTCGCCTCTTAGAAACATGGAAAGAGCACGCAGAAACGTCTTAATTCCCAGGGCTCTCCACACATCCACAAAACAACGTACAAAAAATGTTTCTATCATCACTGCCGCATTGCGTCTTGTGTTTTTGTGATTTGTACCGCATGCCTTACACTTGTGTTCTACCTGGGTACCTCAAATGGATTTCCTTATCCCCGAGGCATTCAATTGTTATCCCTTAAATCTTAAAAAAAATTTTTATGTCAATAAAAATAAATCCGTAGATGCAGGCAGATTTATCTTTAATACTTGTGAACATGTTCCACTGAAAAATGGAACAGTTTTTTATATATATAAATAAAGCAGCGTAAAAAAAACAAAGCCAAAATGCTTTTTTTGCTGTATTTGTTTATGGACATGTTCTGCACGTTCAGATTTTTTACGAGTATTTTACTGCAGTTAATATGAAGACGTAGAGCATTTGCTTCGAAACTCTTATCAGAAGTTAACGTTTCCCTCACATTAAGGCCAGGATCACCGAGTCCGGATATTAACCGCATATTTTTACGGTCTCTGTTCCATAGGATGCCCCATTACGGATCCTTGGACCAGAATTCCACGCAACAAAATATGTCGCCACCCAACTATCAGCAGTCTCTCGGCACTTATGACCCAAACAATGATTTTCCTCTCCGTAAAACAGGTAATGTATGACGCTACTCAACTGCCTACTCTTTTTTGGAGTTTCCCAATGGTCTCCTTGATGCCCAAATGGAAACTATTCAAAGTCACTTATACATGGGCACTTCTACCTGATATATATTTTTGTGGATGTAAGGTTACACAATAGCCAAATGGGGGAAAAAAAACCGGTTCACAAATTATTTTTGACAGAAGGTTTTGAGCATGCTTTTTGAAGTGTCTTCTTCACCGGAGCAAAAGCCTTTTCAAAAAGATTATTCTGCTAAATTTGACAACTAAACCGTGCTCGTGTAGATTTCGCAATGCGCATCGGCAAACTGCCACGTATGAAGTCACATAAACTATGAAGAGATCCTTTGCGAATACAGATATTTAGTTCTCACAAACATAAATAATACATTGCACGGAGTTTATCAATATTTCATTGCATGTTAATAGGAGGGGCATTATTATTTCTGAAAAAAAAATAACTGTATTGAGCTTTGATGAATTGCAGTAATTGCAGGCTGTGCTTGCGAGAGACGGCAGGAACATTGTGTGGACCCTGGTTACATAACGGCAGCTCCGTTGAACAACGTCCCCCTGTGGCATGTTACATAAGGATGCCAGCCTGCATATGCCTATGCTTGGCAGGGCAGGACTAGTTCAGAGATGGTGTTCATGGAGAATATAGCAAGGTCACGCATTTTCGGTGTGCCATGAAATGCAACTAATATTCACAGCACCAGTGTAATTTCTGGAGTAAAACGGTAATATATAGGCGTATGCGCAATCGTTAATATTATTAGAATGGTTATTGAAATAATCATTTGCTAGTTACAGTCATTAAAAGCAGGTGATTTAAATTTAAAAAAATACTGCAGGGTATATAAAATCGTCTTGCATTTGAAGGAACAGTGTATACATTTCCGTAACATTCAGTTCAGTCATAGGCTTAATTTTAGCCTTGACACAGTTTCTGATGAGGAAATGGCTATAATGCAATATCTATTCCAAAAGGGAAGGACACACACGAGATTGTGATGAAATAAGTAACGTATGTTAATCACTTTATTACCTTTTGTCAATCAACTGCTGAATAATAGTTGGAGGGGCACCACTGGATTTTTGATTTGGACGCTAAGGGCAGTTATCATAGACATCATAATCAACATCTAATAAACAGATAAGAAAAGAGTAGTTTGGAGTGCTTTTTGAAAGCTGAATTTAATCCTGAAAAGCAACATACGAGTCTGCCGAGAGATATCACGTTTTTAATCAGTGTTTGTTACACATGATTAGAGAAATAGGCACTGACAAATACAACTGACCGTATATGAAAATGTGCAAAAGAAGCACGTCAAAAGATGTATGCTTGCAATGACAACCGAGAGACACACACAGAGAGTAAACTCGCGGATCGCTGATTGTTAAAGAAAGTAAGTGTACTTGGGCAGAATACATTGCTTAAATGGATGATGCCGATGGACAAAACCAAGGACAAATTGGCAGCCCGACGGAGCGAACAGTGCCCAATAAGACGATGGGCACAGCATGGATGGAACAAAGAGATCAAACCGATGCGCAGGAGTGAGATGGATTGTGCCCTCACGTAAACTCCGGGCACCGGCTTTTGGCTAGCAGTCGAACAAAGACGGTCACCGCATCGCGCGCTTTCAGATGCGCTTCTGCGGCCGTCTGGAACGCTCTTCCGTCCGATATTAAAAAGCCACTGGAGCTATGCACTTTTAAATCTCGATTGAAAACTCTTTTTTTTAGGACTGTTTTTTTGTGTTTAGTTTCATGTCCTTTCTGCGATTAGTACGATTGGCTACATACAGTGCAAAAAGAAGTTCAAAATACATGCATGCATACATAGGATCACGTGGCATGCAGATAGACAATGGCTGATGATGTTAAATAAATGTAATGATGATTATACGTATGTATTATTACTTAGCATTATAGGATATTTTTTTCAACTCAGAGAGGCCTTCAATTGCCAAAATAACTCAAGTGATGACAATGATGATAACATTTGTTAAGTTGTAGTCTTTAGCAAGGAAATGTGTCTCAATAACAAAAATATTACCATATTCTTGGTTCTTTCGGTAAAGTCACGTAGAAGGGAAACAATAAAATAATAAAAATATATTGTTGATATTTTTATTAGAACCAAGAATATGAATCCCTGCAGTCACGAAAGCTTTAAATCAATAAAAGATTACCGTTGATTGAATGGAAGCATATGTACAAAATGGACAAGTTTGACAATACGAACCTTTAAATTTGCAATCCGCAGGCACTGAGGGCATTGAAATTAGTTTTGCAACTGGATATCTCGTGACCAGTCTGGGGGAGTGTTGTGTGGCTCAGTTAATTAAAGCACGAAGGCTCCCTTTATCTCTTGCCTCAGAAAGACCAATTTAAATTAATTGCCGCACTGAGTGGCGTAATCCAACATGTATGTCCTTCGGAGAGATGGGAGGGGGCGGCGGTGATGGAGAGTCATTGAAGTGTGATAGAGGCCCGGCACCACGAGGATCTCTATGCATATCGAGCAGCCCATTTGCTGAGAAAGCTGGCATTTTCAATTGCATCCTCCTCCATAAAGAAGGCTGATGCTCGTGTCTTCCCAAAATAGATTTAATCTGCGGCGCTGACAACAATTGGATTCATTTGTGAGTCTAATGACGGGTGCTGGAAGGGCAAAATCACTTGCAGCTACTCAGAGATTCATTTCCCTTTTAAGGCATTTTTATTGTCTTGATGGCATTGAATTAACCTTTCCATATTGTTGCAGTGATTTTTTTCAGCAACAATCAAGTGTTCCGTAAGTGCGCTATTTTTCAGAGGCTCACCTGGCCACCCATTTTATGATTAACAACTCGCGTGCCATATCTCTGGGGGCTCTGACAGGTACAGCACGGAACTGCCAGCCGCTAATAAGGGAAGCTCATCTCTGGTGTCAACTTCATTTGAGCTCCTGCAGAAGCAACATGATATGCACAACAGCAGTGCTAGCCTGTTGGCAGCTGGTGCTAAGTCCAAGTTTTTTTTTTGTTTCATTGCTTTATTGCAAACACAGTGAAATACTTTGCTCTTCAAGCAACGAGCCAGTAATGCCAGGTTGGAAGTCCTTTCCTCTTATCAACCAATCTTTAAAATGTACGGTGTATTTCAGCGATGCGCCTTAGCATCGCGCTGCGGCTGTTGCGTATCTGCGGCGCACCAGATAGCGCCGTTCTCAATGTAACTTTTCGTTAAATTGTTGCAGAATTAGCACTGCGAGCGGTCCCTGCTCTATGACAAAAGTGGCAGCAGCGAGCGAACGAGTGTTTTGATTTGTTCCCGCTTCCCGCAGCGTCGGAGCCAAACCTAAAACTGCGCTCACGGCTTAAACAGAAGGTGGCGGAGCGGAGGAGCAGCCCACTGTTGCGCCGGAAGGGGCCCATGTCTGCTGCCGTAGCTGCCAAGAAGAGGCCAATGGAGATGGCGGGTAATTGGCCTAACTCCTAATTGTTATCCGGCTTCTGACGCACACCCTGTCACCTGATGAATTAGGCTCATTCACCAAGCCCGGTTCTGTGTGATCCGTTGGAAAGTCTTTGCCGCGCAAGTTTGCTCGCTGCAACTTGGCACGGTTGGCTACGTACGGTGCAAAGGAGGTTCAGCATTCATACACGCTTGTTAGCACGTATAATATTTTTGAGAAAAGTGTTCAATAGGTGGAATTATTTTTTTTATTCTGTAATTGCTGATTTATCTTCTTTGGTTCTTTCGGGAAAGTCGCGTAGAATGAGAATAAAATAATAAATTGATAAAATAAAATAACACAATAATATTCTCACGACGTTTCGGCCACAACACAAGCGGCCTTCATCAGGTGAAGGGACGATGAAGGCCGCTTGTGTTGTGGCCGAAACGTCGTGAGAATATTATTGTGTTATTTTATTTTATCAATTTATTATTTTATTCTCATTCTACGTGACTTTACCGAAAGAACCAAAGAAGATGAATCATTGCAGTCACGAAAGCTTTAAATCGAAAAATTGCTGATTTGTTGGGGGGAAAAGTTTTGGGGGAATTACAAATAAAAATGCTTGGGTTAAAGTACAATGTGTCAAATTCGTGCAACAAAACACCCAACAGTAGTTAATGTAGAATATATTTTGGGTTAGATCGCGTGAATATATAAATGTGTCGTTAAACCCGCGACCACTCAACACAGCCAGTTAGTGGGATTTGCACTTAAACAGAACATGCCAATTCGTTACTTAAACAGCTCGTGTCATCCTGATGAAGCTAGTTGTGATTACTGGCGAAACGTCGTACTCAGATTGTAAATGTTGTGGCTTGGCTCTCCAACGCACCGGTGTGCTGTACTAGTGACGAATTTGCGTGCTCTGTTTAAGTGAGAAACCTTACTAAAGATTACTAAGTGTTAAGTAGTTAATTTGTTAAGCCCCAAGAGTCATGGTGAAAATCCCACATTTCCATGGTGTGCCAATATAGAACGACCACTGTTGAATTCCCACAAAGTGATTATAAAAAAAAGGTCCCTGGGGGGATGATGGGCCAAGCTTATCTCAGAAAATGTATTGGAACTCATGACATCCTTAGTTTGATTACATTTCATAGATCGTGATCCATTTATAGATGCTCTACTGACACTGATAGATACTTCTAATAACCATTTTACTTTCTTATTTCTTCTCCACAGATGATTGACATTTTGAGAAAGTGATGGCTCCAGATCTTACGGACAGAGTGAAAGTGTTTAAATATTTAATTCGTGTGTTGAAATTGGTGGGTGGGCATGTCGAGGCTTTGAAATAAAAAAATCTTGTGTTCTCTCCAGTTTCTCCCTATCATTTTAGCGGAATTGCCTATAAATGGATCACCACTCTATATATAAATAAATGTGTCTGTCATCCTTTATTGTGAATCAATATGGGAATGGAACAGAGGCCGCATGCTTCAGCAACAGGTGCCGGGCAGGCTCGTAGCTTGCCAGCTGAGTTAATTGATCCTGACGTGCCTCGCTGTATCCGCCCGAATCTCGTAGAATCCCCGCTGAGCGGCAGTGCGCCTGGTTCAGGTCCCAGCTCCCCCGGCAACAGCACGGGCGGCGGCATCGCCACCGAGAACGGAACAGCGGGGCCCCACCTGCCCTCCCAGCCAGAGGTATGTCGCTCTCTCACACCGCTGTTGTGGTGCGCACCTCACTGGGGTAGCAAGCAAGCCGATCGGTGACGGTGTCACTTACTTACAGAATTCCCCACGCACGCGCTATGGCACAGCGAATGTGTGCGTGGGGGTGTTCATGATATGGGGAGCGGTAAGTGCAGCGGTTAGCGCGCTGTGCTACGAACCTGGCGACCGAGCTTCGATTCCCGCTCAGGGCCAACACCGGTGACGATTATCGTAACCGGTCCTGGACCTCTCCTAGATCGACTCAGCCTGGTCTGTAAGCATCACCAATGGGGAGACAAAGTCGGCCGGGCGTGGTGTAGCCCACCCACTCCCTCATGTGCCTTGCCGGCCTTCATAGGTGCTCGCTAACAGCACTTGCCCCAACAGTGTTCAGGCTATACGGGGAATCTTCGTCTTTGTTTATGATATATGATAAGCCGAGTTAAAAACTAAGAAAAAAACACATTCATCAAGAAGAAAAGGAAAACAAATATTTATTGGCGACGTTTCAGGAGATGGTTCTTCACAGGAGAAAAGAAGGGACATTGCCTGAAATGCCACCTGTTGTATATTGTATTACTGTATATATATATATTTTTTGGCCAGTCTTGTTGGATAATGTGTTGAATTTTGGCTAATTGTTCTTGTGCACCACTGCCAACGCAGCATCACAATTTCTGTTTAACTTTGAGTTTAAAAAAAGTCAATGCCTCTGTAAACAAATGCCCGATTGGTGCTTATTTCTATTTTTGACCTTCATTCAGGAATGTAAATGCCACATTTTAACGCAGAGGCAGAATTAAATCATTTTACGCAGGGGGGGGGGGGGGGGCGGGGTGTGCAGGGGTGTGTGGGTGCAGGCACAGCATAGCAGTGGTTCAGAGAGGAACAGGGTTAATACGCTGTTACGTTAATGACCACGTTGTACCGACTCTGAATTGGAATTGTGCTGAAGGCCATGTGACTCCATTACCCGTGCGATATTTCCCCCGCCACGGGCTGCTGTTCCTCACGCTCAAGGTGACAAAGCTCCGTCGTCGATGTGGCAGTCATTAGCAAATACACTGTGCACTGTTTTAATTCGTTAATTGATCTTAGAGGAAGGCAGCGCATCCTGGCTAAATAAATGAACCGAGTCCACGCCGGAGGACTGTCTCTGCTCATCATGAACCCTAGAGGCTTGGAGACTAAAGCTTTCCTTCACTCTTTAGTTATATCGTCATGTGCATCAGTAGTGGCAGTGACTATTTGACTGAACTGCACAGAGGATTAAGCACCACTATCCACAGCTGTTGTTTAAAAAAAAAACTTTAAGATGCATTAATGTTTAGAGACAAATTGCAATGCTTTAAGTAAGTACATTTAGCATCCGCTTTGTGTAGAATGGAAATTATCGTTGTTACTTGCCACAGATTTGATTCTCCATCGTGTGGAAAATATAGCAATGGGGGCTGATCATCTGTACTGTTGTCTGCGTGATCATAACGTTTAATATTGATAAGCCCCAATTTGCATTACTGTTGCACCCAGTGTTGTGCCTCGTGGGAAAGAAAATTTTAAGAAAAAAATCAATTTTGAACACCGCTTCTGGCAGCAGTGGCTTCTTGCATGTCACGTTCTCGGAAGTGATATGGGACATTGCAATGCTTGCGCGACAGGACTGATAAATGTTGTGCAATCCAGAGTGCCGTGTGTCAACTCCTTAGATGCCCAGGATGGTCTCTGTGTCAGAGGACACTTGCAAATAGCATCGTCCCAAGTTTCAGCGTGCTTTTTATAAAAGCGCATGGCCTGTTCCACTAAATTTAAACGGGACTCGACTATAATTATCTCAGCGCTTTCGTCAAAACAAACTTGTACAAATGGCACTTGGCTCATCCAAACCCAAGGCAACGATAAGATCATCTGTAAATCTTATTTAGTCGTTAAATGTCTACTGCTGGATGATAACCACTCTTGCTTCTTGCCATATTCCCGTTTTACGTCGCCTAATCGTGTTCTAATGCCTGGCATCCTCTGACATTATCATCATCACTTTTCCGCCTTACTTTCGATTGCATTGTCTTTCATTATGTTGCAGTTTGATTTCTTAGTTCTCTTCATAACTGATGGGAAAAAATAGGCTTTAATCATTCCAGCAATAACACACGTGTTTAGATGTTCAAACAACAAATAGACATCTATTCCAAGGCATCAAAGTCAGCATTTACCACATATGATTGTGGTAAAACATGCATGTCCTTGAAACTGATTGGCCTACACCAGAGACAGCCTGCTTTATAGCCTTGTCTAACAAGTGTTAGACCAAAGAACGCTAACTGCTTTGATATGTGCAGTGCCTTCAAGCATCGCAACGGGAACATCAAATTGTCCCATAGATATAACTGCAAAAAAACTGCTCAAGCGGAGTTTTCTATGGGTTAGAGCAATCTATGGGACCATCATTTGATATCAGCAAAACATTTCCCATAGATATATTCGTCATATCTGACGAACAGAAGAATAATTTTGCGTATTTTACTGTTTTCACGCCGATATTATAGCACAACGCTATCACAGAGGCGATATGCTTCACAGACACAGTCTGCAGTAGTTTAATCGGTGGTAAGGGGCGACGTTGTGATGTGGAATCCCACTTGACTAATTATAGGCATATGGAATCCCACTTGACTAATTATATAGATATGGAATCCCCCCTTCACTGATTTGCAGGTAATTTTGTTTTTCTCTCATTTGGACCACGATGCCGGCACACACAATGGCCTGCTCTTTTCAAATCACGTCACGGGATCTTTAACGTTCGCCGCGAAACCAGACGACGCTCATTCTGTGTTCAGTACGCCTGCAGGTATTAACCAGGGCGGCCCACCGGAATCCAACGCAGTGAACTTCTGTGACAAGCAGTGAACGCCCAACCGCTTGACCATTTACATTTATCACAGCATTCACGTTAATTTCCTTGTAACTCCACTGTTTTTGTCGTAATCCACCGGGTTGGACGTTATGTCCTGAGTCGTGCAGCAACGGGTGCAATAGACGACATTGCATTCGACCTTCATCACATCACGTGTTCGAATTCATTTTTAGGAGCAAAGCCAACTTTTAAAAAAATCGATTGTTAACATTTGTTAGCGCTCGGCAGAAACAAATTGTTTAAAGAAAACCTGTAGGACTTGGTGAATAATGCCATCTTTGTGTTGCTGTAACGTTTATTTTATATGCTGTTTACTGTGCCTCGTGTGCTTTATATGACGTGTGCTTTTATTTTCATTCATATGTTTTGACATAAATTGAAGTTAAATAATGGTGTTTGTATATATACTGATTAGATCTTTACAGTTGGGTTTAGAAGTATTAATTAAAGCTACATTTGTTTGGGTTTACAGGTAGTTTGTATCCTGTGTACATTACAGTATATACAAAACATTTAATTTCCCTTCAACGGCAGTGAAGTCTGAGAATAAATGTTGTTTTAAAGCTTTCGTGACTGCAGGGATTCATATTCTTGGTTCTTTCGGTTAAGTCACGTAGAAGGGAAACAATAAAATAATAAAAATATAAAACAATAAGCTTGTGTTGCAGTCGAAACGTCGTGAGAATTTTATTGTTTTATATTTTTATTATTTTATTGTTTCCCTTCTACGTGACTTTACCGAAAGAACTAAGAATCTGAGAATACATCTTTATACATTACCTCGGGCCCAATCGCCGGAGAATGTGCCCCATTTCATCACGTCTCTGAAGCCAAACAGGGTTTGAGCTCAGATGGCGCATTGATGAGTGACTATAGGCTGCCCGCCGAGCTTCATTGTGGGCAGTAGAGGGCAGCGTGGCAAAATCCATTGTTGTAGTGTACTTCTTTCCTGCCCGCGTCTCTGTTCCCCCGCCTTTACCAAACTGCACTGACCAGCGTGGTGAAGTATGGACAGAAAATGTCGTTAACCCGCACAGCGCTGGTCGGCCGTCATCCAGTCAGTGCATTGACAAAAGGGCTGTGCATTTGCTTTGTGCACATTTATTGTGTACATTCATAATGAAGAATGCGTCAAGTCATTTACCGTACCCTAATTGTAATGCATCACAAGTGAAGAAAGATCATTCTTTGAGATCGGCCTGATGTCAGAATGGTCGTTGCTGCATTTTCGGCGTTCATTTTGAAAACTGACCTTAACCTCATTTAATAATAATCAAAACATTTTGACCAAGGCACGTAACTGTGCATTTCTTGAAATCAAAGAGTTGATGCCATGTGTTCAGAATTATAACAGGAAGGTAATGTTTTATTTTTCTATGCATTTTATTAAGTGGACATTAATATTCCTATGCCCAGTGTAAATATGAAGTAAATCTATTATGCCTTGAATTCCCCTCATGTAGAAGAATTTGCAGAAGCCATCACAAATTGCATTTGTCACTTGCAAGGTTTTTCAGGTTACTAAGCATTGCTTTCAGAGCTGTATATGAATGACCACGTTACCGAGGACAGCGACCCAAGTATTTCTGTTAACATGTGTCGCATGAAACATCTATATGTGTTTACAAATATCAAGACATTAATTGTCGTTCATTGGCAATTTATTAATTTAATACAATATTGCGGCAAGATTTACATGCATTCTTGCCATCTGTAAATTTATTTTTAAACCCATCATTGGTAATGATGATAATGTTACGGAGCAAAATATATGTGCATAATCGCTGTTATATTTAGATGGGTCTAAAATGTGGCCATATCACCAAAAAGTAATTTCAAGCTGTCTCTTTGGCAGCTGAAAATGTCACCTGCATCGACTACGCATGAGTCATGCTGCTAAATTTAGCCGAGCCTGTGTTTGCTACAAAAGCCTATCGTGCAGGAGTAGGACTTTTCAACGTGAATATTTAATCTCATAAACAAAACAAATTTGATGCAGGGCAGTGGCAGAAAATCATTCAACCATGTCCATCATAGCTGGAATAATGTATTCGTTCACAGGTGTTTCCACTGGTCAGATGAAGAGGTTTTTTTTATTAGCACATTTTTATAACATTTTTAGATGTAACGTTTTTATACATGTGTAGTGAGATAGAATGGGTCACTACGACACATAGCGCTGGTTACTGGTATAGAGCGGGATCGTGGGTGTAATCGCCCGGTCTACCAGCAGGGCAGGTGAAGTGTGCCCTGGAGTGCGTAGTGCTGGTAGCTGGCAGTGAAGGGCATTTGAGGATACAGCGGCCAGTCTGCCAGTAGGTCATGTGATAGGCACGTACGTATGTAGGGTAAAGGTGACAGAGGGGACACGTGGGGCAGCGCCCAGAACCTTCAGGTAGGTTCCAGAAGTAGGGCGTGGCCGAGGGCAGAGCCAGGCCACATTAGAGAGTATAAAAGGGAGGCCCCGACGCTGGGTCGGGGCTGCTGCAGTTTGGGAATGGAACCCGTCGCCTTCACAAGTCTTCGTCCCCATCATCACCTCCTCATCGGTGTTGGGTCAGGCAGTGTGCCAGCTGTCCTGACCCGTATATAGTTATCCCCTATACTGTGGAAAGTGTAGAATAAACGTGTATGCCTCCTACTATTAGTGTCTCTGAAGTGACTCACTACACATGGTGCAATAAAATTACTTAGTTCAGTGTTAGATGTGAAAGCTCCAATTGTAGTGTCGGCTACAATTATGTACTGTTATTACCGTGCTAATCTACAAAGCACGGTAATAACAAAAGAGTGAGGATTTGTACCCACCACTGCAGATACATGTCGGTACTGATATACATTTGCTGCAGCAATTAATAAAAACGGCAACTAAATAATTTTGTGTAACTTCCCCCCCCCCCCCCCAATTTACAGATTTTTTGACATTGCATTTGATCTATTTTATATTAGAAAAATTCATAATTAACAAAGAGCATTACAAAATTACCAGAATCTTTTGTTTGCATTTACACCATTGCAAGGGACATGCCGTGAAAGATTTAATAATCCTACTTCGTAAGTCATTGCACCTGCGGAGCATATTACACAATGAGTTACCAATAGACAAAGAGGAGGGTTACATTTCCAGGTTGTTAAAACATATGGCTCTTCATTGAACAGTATGCGAAAACTTTTAAACTAATGTGTAATTTTGACATGGCACATGACGAGCGTGCTCACTTTGTACCACGGGGGAGGGGGGGGGGGGCGGTGATATAACAAAAATTGGCAATTTCCTTCTGGGCAACTATTCTAAACTTTTAATGCACTGACAAATTTGACAACTTACTTTTTTATATATATAATTCTGACCTGTCCATAAAAAGTATGAGGAAAAACTACCAGTACAGAATTTTTATTACAGCTCTAATTGTGGCTGCCATGCCAAGGAAGAAGAAAGACAAATTGTACCTTTTGTCTTCATGAAGTGTGATACTTGACCACACTTTATGAATATATATTGTATCAGCCCAGAAAGTGCCTATGTATTCCTCTCATGAAGTAATGTATTTCATGTTCGTAATATATCAGTGGGTGTTGTGAATGGCATTATCCAATATATAAATGGGGCTTCTGAAAGACGCAATTGGGCAATTAAATGCATTTGTCGCCATCAACAATGGGAGGTAGTGGTGTGATAACGACTCTGATAGGAGAGCATTGGGTGGCTAAAATTAAGCTGGTTGAGACCGTGAGGAGTGCTGGTGGCACATCTTCCAGTCCCTCAGTCATTTATCCTAAACACTAAAGTTAATCTTGTAAACTCCTGCCAGTAAGCCTTTGTTACTTCATATCACCTCAAAGTGCACGTAACTTAGCATAAGCGCTTTGGTGAATTCACTGCCACTTGGTGGTAAACGATGTTTGTTGTTTGATGATGCACGTGTGTGTGTGTTTATTTCAGATTTATATTTGATGTTATTATTTATATTTGATGTTATTATTAACATTTGATGTCATTAATTCTCCTCAGCATGCCTTAACCCAGCGTCAAACAATGGCACCTGAAGGAGTAGCATGTCCCCTGAGCCTCTATACTTCTCCCTCGCTGCCCAACATCTCACTGGGCCTGCCCCTCTCAATGACCGCTCACAACTCGCAGCTGACGGTGAGTTATGCACGATCTTTTTTTTTCCCTACACCTCTCTTTGCCCCTTCGGATTCAAGCGGCACATGTACACAGGTGGGATATGCTTCAGGAGCGATGCTGTCTGTGCATTCCATTAGCCACGCATTGCATGTTAACCCCCCCCCCCCCCACTGTGGTAATTAAATACTCAGCTACGCTCTGCACAGCTCACACAGAAGGTATCCAGCTTGACGCTTACAGGTGCTTTCTTGCGTTATGCATTCCAATTGGCTCTTAGAATGTCTCATAGCAAAAACAACGTTACCTTGGGCATTTTTTTTATTTAAAGCTTTCGTGACTGCAGGGAGTCATAGTCTTGGTTCTTTCGGTAAAGTCACGTAGAAGGGAAACTATAAAATAATAAAAATATAAAACAATAAAATTCTCACGACGTTTCGACTGCAGCACAAGCAATCATCATCAGGTGTGGTTTACAATGCAGGCACCATTGCCAGTTTCACTGTTTTAATGTTTTATTCTTATTCATATTAAATGTTTTTTTTACTTAACTGATTCACAAAAATAACTTAAATTTAATGTTATGACTTAAAACTTTCGTGACTGCAGAAATTCAAATTATTGGTTCTTTCGGTAAAGTCACGTGAATAGAAAAAATAAATGGTAAATTAAAATAAGAAATAAAAATAGTAAAATTAAGTAAAAAATAAAAATAATTTGAAGATAATAAAGGCAAAAAACCCACGACGTTTCGATCGCAACACAACTGTTCTTATTTTATTTTTTATTATTTAATCTTTTTTATTTTAATTGATTATTATTTTATTTTTACGTGACTTTACCGAAAGAACCAATAATATAAAAAAAATTGTTTATCTTGTCCTGTTAATGCTGTGTTCGTAGTATAGTTTAGTTGAGTGGCAAATATAGGAATATGTGCATTTTTAGTCCACAAGACTGACTTAATGCTGTTTTTTGCAATGTAGGATTTAGTTAGGTATTTTATCGTGTCAACATTCTCAAACAGCTTATATAAAATATCCTGCCTCATTTCTACGTATTTTTATTCAACCATGACATATTAATAAGGCATAAACAGTAGTATAATACCTTGGATACGTTACTTTGCAATTATATTATATAACGAGGATCATTTAGTGCGTGTAAGGCGTTGTGTGATGAGATTGTATGGAAGGGTCAGCAGGGCATTGTTAGCCATCGATACAAATTTATTTGGCTTCACGCCCATAATTATAAGAATTAGCATACAGTCCTTGGACAGTGTGGTTTAATTGGAAAATATATACCTAAAAGTCAAAGCGAGATTGAGAATGAATAATGCATTGGAAATTGAAACTAAAATCACTCTGAACTGAATAATAATAAAAAAAAACAATTCACTATAAGGAGAACATTTGAGTAAACAACTCAGAAGGACTATGAAAAATAGTCATGTTTGTTCGCAAAATTCTTAGAGAAGGTGTATAAATGTGTCTTGTCACGGTAGACTCTGAACTCTTTATATTTACACCTTCATGAGTGCCGCTGTTGGCGAGCGGTCTGCAATGTTTGGCCTCTGGGCCCGTGCACGGCAACGGCGATTAACAATAAATAACTACAAACACCTCTGAAGAGGGATAGGGAGGTGGTGTTGTTGTCAGCAGCCACGTAGCTCGGTGTTCCATCATCGGTTCTCTCCTGGAGCTCACAGACAGTGTGCTTCTAATTGAGGTGAATGTGAAAATCAATAGAGGCCTGGAAGTACACAACGAAATAAAAACGAGCACTTGGTAACGCCACGAATTGGAGGCCCCTGTAATTGTAACACAGAGAGAACAGTTTATCACCTACCATTGAAAGTGAGCCTAACAACATTAATTAAATGTGCATCTGCAGAGTAGTCTATCTAATAATCTGTGTATAGCATGTATAGCTACGGTTAAATTCAGGTGTCCTGTTTGATGAAATCAGCTCGTGTGTTGGCGCTAGATGGATTAAATATATCGCAGGATCGTGAAAGATGGTTACAGATTGCAGAGGCTTTCATCCAGAAGTTGAATGACTAATGATGATGATGTAATACTCAATGAGCACTACCTCGGTAGGTATTGTACTACCTCGGTAGTGCAATAGTTAGCGCGCTGCTCTATGAACCCGGCGACCCGAGTTTGATTCCCGCTCACGGCCAACACCGGTGACGGTTACGTGAATAGGTTTCTGGGCCTCCCCTAGGTCGACTCAGCCTCAAATGAGTACCTGGTGCCATGTGCAAATATCGCCACTGGGGAGACAAAGGCGGCCGGGCGTGGCGCTGGCCACCCACCCTCTCGTGTGCCGTTCCAACCTTCACAGGTGCTAATCGCTTACACCACTTGCCCCAACGGTCTGTTTAGGCTACACGGGGGGACATGTTTGTCTTTGTATTTTTGCATGTGATCTCGACAGGCCACGATGGCACTTTCTGCCAAGCAACAGCAGGCAGAGCGAGTGGCAATGCCGGGACAGTTTCTGCCGCCGCTGCCCCTCTACCTGGCCGCTCGTGCTGTCAATGGAGAAGGCCAGCACCCAGGGCAGGGCCAGGCGCAGGGGCACGTTGTCAGCCTCAGCCAGAGCTGCAGCCAGCCGAACCTGTTGCAGTCGGCACGCCTGCAGAGTGAGCAAGCCCGCCCTCCGCACCCAAAACACACAGGTGCGATCATTTTATCTCCCGCATGTGCACTCAAGGCTAAGCCTTAAACTTTTCCGAGATTATGTACGTACGATATATATTCTGACCAAGTCTTGTTGGATATGAACGCACATCTATACCTGTGCCCATATATAGATAAGTATGTATGTTTGTTTGAGGTAAACATGGGAAGTGTGTTTTTTTTCTATCCATCCTGCCAAAAATGTAGGTTTCCAATCTGCAGTTGTGTTCTGATAAGTGGTTCAATCATACAAAGGGCAGGATTCTATCGGTAAATACAATAGATAAAGCTGGGCTAACTGTATATCCCCGTTAGCTGCAGCATCTTGTACAATGGAGACACTGGTGTTTATACTGCTAGAGGACTTATTTTTATTTGAGAGGATGTATTTAATTATTTTAAAACATGTTACGTCTTTTGTGGCCATTTATATTCCTCTATGCAGCAGCTGCTGCTGCTGGCAGCATGACGTCTGTTTCCGACTGCGTCTCAATAAATAATAATAATAACTAAATCAGCCACTTGACCCCTCTTTGTGCGCATTCCGCCTTATCCCTCCGTCAACTGTGGCGCTCTCTCCCTCGGTGCCATTCTTACCCCCGCTCCGCCCACTTTGCACATCTTCTGTGAATCCGCGCAAACCCATCGCCACCGCTTTTTGGCTGGCCGACAAACGGAGACGTCACCGCGTCGTGGCACTTTGTTAAACGCACCTTCACATCTCGATTGAAAACGAATTTCTTTAAGAACTGCTTTTTGTGTTTAGTTTGTCGGCCCTCTCCCGCACCTCCGATTAGCACGGTGGGTTATGCACGGTGCAAAAGAAGACACAAATACATATGTTGCAACTTTTCTTATTTTCATTAAATTCCTCGACCATTCATCTCCAATGCCACCCTCCCATCTTTCCGTGTTGCCACCACTCTGGCTGTTACCCACCCAACCCCCCCCCATCTGCCGTCCCACACCCTCCCGCTCTCCACCTTTCACTTGACTCCCCCCCTCCCCCGCCGCCCGCTGCACTTGGCTTACAACCCCTTTCTCTCGCTCCTTTTTCCCCCAACCGATCCTCACCGCCGACCCCCGCGAACCGCAGAGCGTGCCCGGCTGCCGCGGCACCGCAGCCTGAGCCGCACTCACTCGGCGCCGCTGCCCACGTGCCCTCAGGCCCTGCAGCAGCTGGTCCTGCAGCAGCAGCACCAGCAGTTCCTGGAACGTCAGAAGCAGCAGCTTGGCAAGGCAAGAGGCGCACGGCCCCAAAAGTGACGTGGCCAAGCAACAGCCAAATTTTGATTTAAAGCTTTCGTGACTGCAGTAATTCATATTCTTAGTTTTTTCGGTAAAGTCACGTTGAAGAGAAACAACAAAATAATTAAATATATATAAACGTCGTGAGAATTTTTTTATTGTTTTATATATATTTTATTATTTTGTTGTTTCTCTTCAACGTGACTTTACCGAAAAAACTAAGAATATAACAGCCAAATTGTTAACGTTGTGGGTTTTACTCTCCAACACACCGGTGTGCCGAAGTGGTAACTAATTGGCACGTTTTGTTGACGTGACAAATCTTTACGAATTGGCTGTGTCGGGTGGTGGTGGGTTGACGACACATTTATATTTACGCGATCTAACACCCTAAAAAAAAAATCTGGATTATTAATTATATTGGTAACAAAAGCCTACCCGTTAGACTCGTAATTTCCGCTTGTTACAGTTTCCTTTATTAGTCCCATGGTCAATACCGTCCAGTTCACAGTGGACTTCGAACATCTTGCAACGTTAGTTCAAAAAGAGTAGGCCTCTTTAACAAATTGTCCACACAATTTGTCATTTAGGAAAACAAATGGTGACATTGCCCCCTTACTGAAAACGTATCAGGACATAACTGAAAAACTCAGTGAGACTTTTCTGGGTAAATAAATGTTATGATTTTGATGTCATTAAAATTTGTCAAAAAATAGTCTGTGGCTCGTACTCCTGGCCAGCATATCTCCGCTCATTCTCCGTTGGCAGCCTTTGGATATTAGTTTAAATTCCACATTTCTTTGGCGGGAGCTAAGTCTGATTTAGGGCAGCCACTGCTGAATTCACACGAAGTGGTACCTATTTTATTGACCCCCTGGGGTATGATTGCCTGCTGGGTTTGAACTCCCAGCCTTCCTCTCGTGAGTTGAGCACTCTGCCACAACACCACCTGGCCAGATAACTGCCGCATTATGGCCATAATAACACACTGAGTTTTTTTTTTGCAATTTAGCTTACCAATACTTTTTTTTTACACTGTTATTATTACTATTGGGCCGTACTAATAATGACAGGTATTAATGGAAAATGAAAACGATATTTACTGTATTCAATGAATGCTTTAAGCTTTGTCAAGAGTCAGATCGTGGCACATGTACATCTTACCTAGTGCAAAAATATGTTTAAACTTCAAAGAATAGTGAGGCGACTGGGCAGGGAGGGAGTTAGTGTGCTACAAAGGATGTGGGCAATGAGGATTAAGCACTCAGGTGGAGAATCGGTGCATTTAATGTCTAGGTGGTAGTTTTGTATTGGCTCTCGAGCACCATGTGGTTTTATGGCAACGGATTTATACGCAGTTGTTAGCATCGAATATTAATTTGAACCCTCTGCTGCTCATGACTGAAGTTATGCCATGACATTTTTTTTACATACTTCTGATATGTGCAGATTATTTTACAAGATGTACCAACTTAAAGGAAAAGAAACAACACAATTTTTGTTTTTATCGTGTATATCGCTTTTTAATACCCACGACTGGACGAGGGCCTTGCATCGCCATATGGGTCATGAGGGTTTTTTTTACCATAGTTCACCAAGCTAGTAGGTGTGAATTGGTGAATGCGGGCAGCATAGATATTGGAGCATGTTACAGTGTAACAATGAAGTGTACCGCACTGCCCTTCACTGCGTACATTCATGTGCTTTAGTGAGGAAAATAAACAATAGAAAATTATTCTACAGCCTTTGCACAGACATACATTGTTATTCATTTTTTTAAACCGGGAATGGACATTTTCAATATATGTGTCCATGTTTCCAAAAGTGTTTTTTTTCCAGCACATCCCCATTGAGGCATGATTCAATTTATAGGCATATCATGTATTCAAACTGGATAATTCCGATGAGCTATAAAGCTCTTTCTTCTAAGATGTCCAGAAGGGTGTGCACACTGCTGTTTTTTTTTCCTCTTCAATGCTGGCACGATCACCGAAATGCTGGGGTGGGGGCGGTGGGAGGGAGGTGGAACTTTAAAAGCTTGTTCCCAGGCTCCAAGCGCCACCCGACAACGCCAGTGGCATTCTAATTGGCGTGCGATGCCACATGCAGACGGCGGCAGGGATTGCACCAACGGGTGGCTGCGAGGCGTCCCTCCTCGTGCGTTCCCATCCGTGCCTCCAACACCCTACGCACCTCCCCATTTAAATGGGTCGATGCGCGCTTTTTTTTTTTACAAGTGAAATTTGCGTCAGCGTGACACGATATCATTTTTTTACAACGCAGATAAATCGCTTTGTTTCTCTTTTTTTTAATACCGTTATCCAAAATATCCGGTCAACATTATGAACCTCGCAAACCCTAATTAGCCCTCGGTGCTGTCATTGCAAACAACCTGTCAAGACTGCATCTGCTCGCATCAAAGAAATGAAGCTGAAATGTATCCGTGTGGCTGCTTATTGCAATTAGCACAAGCGGCGGAAATAATAAATCAAGGCTTGATTACACATCACAGCACCAGATGTGTCTGGCACCGTGCCCACGTGTGTCCGTTCGCAGCGCAGCAGGGGGAGAGGTGCAGGGCCAGCCAACAGGGATCCTGGGGCAAGGGGAAGAGAGAGGAGGTGGAGGGGGGAGGGTTGTGCTGAGAGAAAAGAGCCTTGAAATAAAACCTTACCTGCAGCTAACTCAGGCAGGGGAGCTTTGAGAATTAAGCATGCTGTTAAGTAGATTTACAGCCTGTTACTTAGCAGTGGAATCTATTTTAATGTGGCCACCAGTGTTTCCCTATTTAAACAAATACTCATAGCTTGAGGTCCAATAAATCATTGGAAATGAACCTGATGGTCATGGTGAATGTGAAGAAAAATAACCTTTTGAAGTATATATTGGGCATATAGTCTCAGGAAACAAAGAGCAGGCGGTTTAGATGGTTGCCTAATTTTGGTAGATGTCTCCGACTATTTATATGAAGGTGAAAAAAGTAAGTAGGTTCCAATTAGCACGGTTGACTGCGTACGGTGTGAAAGATGTTCAGCATGCATCCATGCATGGGGTAGAGAATGTTCAACATACATATGAATGTATGTATGTATGTTTTTTTTTACTTATTTCGCATCATACGTAGCAAACCGTGCTATTCAGAGGTGTGGAGGAAAAACAACAAACTAAACAGAAAAATACATTCTCGAGAACTATGTTTTTTCAATCTGGATTTAAAAGTGCATAGCTCCAGTGTCTTCTTAATACCGGAAGGAAGAACGTTCCAGAATGGGCGCAGACGCCAATCGGAAAGTGCGCGATGCGGTGACCGTCTCTGTTCCAAGGTCATCCAAAAGCCGTCATGGCTCTAAGAGATCATGGCCAGAGCTCGACAGAAGGACAGAATGGCAATCGAAAGGGTGAATGTGCCTGAGAGAGTTCATCATCCATCGTGGAGACAGAGCAGTGCAATCAGCTGATATTTAGGAGGTCGTTTTGCAACTGAGGGATCATGGCTTGGTGAGGCCTTCATCCAGCAATAGGTAGTTTATGACTGATTGTGATGATGATTTCATTGACTATCTTGTCATTAACCATGATTGAATCGTGAACTAGATGTGTATTTTTACTTTGTTATCCATCTGATTATGAACTACCACTAACCACCACCTGACATTTTCACCTGTAAAAAAACTAATAATTTCTCTCCGCCACTGCCTTTCCCTAAACCACTGTTATTTGGTCATAACTTACATGTCACTTTAATTTCCGGGAACAGTGGGACTTGACATTTTGGCAGAACAGGGCCTGCAGTTACATGATGCAGGTGAGAGCAGTGAGTCAGTGTCTTAGCCACCATTATCGCACAGTGAGCAACGCAGCATGGCATTGCTTTTTTTACTGCCGCACATGCCGCACTGATTGGTACAATTGCAGTTCCTCATGCAGAGTCTCCTGAGGGTGCTTCACTTCACATTCGGGGCAGAAGCCTCAACCCTAGACTTGGTCAGTAAAACACGTACGAGGCTTTCACGACCAATATTATCCGTAATACGCGTGTTTTTGGGGGTTAAATTGCGTTAATGTAAATGTGTCGTTCACCCACCACCACCACCCAAAAGTCAATTAGTTTGACTTGTCACGGAAACAAAACGTGCCAGTCAGTTACTAGTTCAGCACACCGATGTGTGTTGGAGAGTAAACCCACAACATTTACAATTTTAAGTACGACGTTTCGCTGGTGATTACAACCGGCTTCAGAATTGGCAAACAACCTAATGAAGCCAGAATATACTGGAGACCCGTGAAGAAATAAAGAGCTTCATAGCTCACCGGATTCCTCCAGTAATAAATAAACATTCTGATTCTGATGTTTACATGCTCTAAACCACAAAAAACCCCGTTCATTCTAGCCTTGGTTCTTAACCTGATTTCTTTTTTTTTACTCACTCTGGGTGGGTTGTTGAGAAGCCCCGCTGTGTATCGGCCTGTGGGCTCTGGGCTGCGAGCAAGCCCGTCCAGGGTGGAGTGTGGGAGTGGATGCAGCCCAGGGAGCTCAGGAAATGGAAGCGGAGCTAGCGGATGTCGTTTGTTACAGTGAAGCGTTGCAACGGGAGACTCATAACTTTTAACGTTGCTCCCGCTCCGCGTTGTTTTGGTTGAGATTCCTGAGAGCCTTGCAGGTGCAGTAATGGTGCCTTTCTGACAAAAATAATGGTGATTAATTTGTTTTTTAACTCGTGGTCATCACATAATTAGGATTTAATTTCAATTTAACAGAAAAAAATTGAGGCAGTGCAGAAAAGCAAACAGAAAAAAGTATAAACGAAAAGCCAAGTTCACATTGGTGCAGGCCTTTATATGTACATTAGCTAACCTGAGTTAGTAAACGGTCATCATTTTTACAGTGTCTGTAACCATGGTTCAAAGTTCATAGTAGAAACAATATCTTGTGTATATTAGCAATGTAATTGCATTTGAAACGTTGTACACGGTTGTGCATTAGCCCCGCAGATTTCTGTCAAAGCTCTGGACTCCTTCTATTCTGAATATTTCCTAATCACTTAATCTGCGAGGTCTGGAACATTTTAAAATCGTTGTCTTAAATTTAAACCACTCAGTATTGCAGCTGATCCAACTGCATGGTGACGTCAGTCGTGATTAAACTGTTAAATAAATCACACTTGCGTCCGTGCAGTGGATACTGACCAGCGGCACACTGCATCACAGACAAGCCAATGTTCATTACAAACAACTCCTTCGTTTTTAATGGGCAACTGCAAATCCCAAACATTTGCAGATCTGAACTAGGTAGGCCATTTGACTAATGAAAAGGAACTAGACACTATTGGATTTGACTTGATTAGACATGTTCTGTCCCTATGTTTTGCTTGGGGATGTTAAACCCTCTATGGTGGCAGAATTAATGCACCTGCAGCCTCACTGGAAAATAGTGTATTGTGGTTGGGCCTTAATCAGTGGCTTGTTCTGTTTATACCGATTGTCTGTGTATCACTGAGCTCTACTTGAGTAGAGTGTAGGGGAGCGGTAGTGTAGTGGATAGTTTGCTGTGCTACAAACCCGGAGAGCCGAGTTCGATTCCTGCTCATCGCCAAAACCAGTGACGATTATCTGAACCCGTCCTGAGCCTGCCCCTAGGTCGACTCAGCCTGAAATGAGTACCTGGTGCGGCGTGTAAACATCACCACTTGGGAGTAAACGTCAACATTTGCCCCAGCAGTCTGTTAAGACTATACGGGGGAACTTTGTCTACTTGAGTATATTAGGTTGAAAAATGTCTAGCATTATATACATGATTAAGAGCTAATTATGTCCCAGATCGACTACCAATACAAACGCAGTTCGCGATCACCTATTTAGGTTAACAAAGCATTTGATACATATTATATGGCCACGACTACCACCTTTGTCTAATAGGAATGCTTAATATTCAGCACTGGTGGAATTGACCTTGGGTGAGCTCAGCCCAGCTTTAGATATCAATTGCACCGAGAGATGTAAAGCTAATTGCCACAATTAAATCCTGGTCTGCTGGCATGATAGCACATTAAAGCCATTATACCACTGCTCCTAGTACATTCAGTACAGTACTCAATATGCATAGACACATGCTTTATAAACCTTCATACCTAACGAGTAGTCCACTCAATATTGTGGCATAGTTGACACTATAAAACAAATGTCAAATATTTCACAAGCACGCAAACAAACTCATATATACATTGAACTATCACTTTTTGCACCACTGCATAAGCACGCCGTGTAATGACATTCGATAACTGGCAAACAATTCCACTTCTTTATGTGTTTTACCACTGGCTTCTCTCCGGGCCATTCAGGGTCAATATCATCCTATTCCTGATGTATATCACCAGTGCGCTTACACAGCTTGGGGAGGAAGCATGGCGTTAAGACACCGGGGTTTGAGAGTGTGAGACGGTGGCGAGGGATGAGCCTCACGCTCGCGCTCAGCACGACTCTGGTGGGGGATGCTCTCTCCGGCTGCCCCCCCCCCCCATCCCAGGAGGGGAGCCTTCTCCCAGCAGCCCCAGAGTAAACACGTGGGGTCACCGGTGTGACTTCCCCTGCAGCTGTGCAAGCATTCCGCTGCCAGCCGTTCTGCTAAGCCTCACTGGATATGGCGGGGAGAGCAATCGTCACATTTATGGCAGCAGCAGCAGCAACAGCAGCATCACCGCCGCAGCTCGCTGGGCAAAAGCATTCGTGAAATCGGACAGACAGATATGTGTAGATCTGTCGTCACGCACACAGGCGGGGCTGAGCGGTGGCACCGTAGGTCACACGCTGCGCCATGCACCCTGTGACCTGAATTTGATTCCTGGCCACGGCTAGCATCGGTGGCGAGTGATGTCTGAACCCGCGCACACTGCCCACCGCGGTGAAGTTTGGCCAAACGACCTCCCGTGACTGACAGGGCACGGCGAGGTCTTCATCCAGCAGCAGATTGACATGGGCCAAAATTATATATTTATATTATTGTGTGATGAACACAAGGTGCAATAATGGACATTCGCAGGGACACACATGGTGGATCATACACGTAAATACACGTAGCATACACAGCCACTTTATTTACACATTCAGTGATTCATAACAGCGGTCATGGTAAAGTAATCTTCCTTTTGGTTGTTCTCGTGTATTGAATCTGTGCTGCGAGCAACTTAAAAGTTCCATATCACCTGCACAGCATTATTAACAATCATACAATCCCTGTCTCTTTACTCAGGAGACTACAAAAACAACTGTTTAGCCACCCATTAAACTGCCAATGCTGATTAGTCACACAAGGCATGTACGTTAATTCACATGCACACGAAAGCTCACATGCATGATGTGCATCGACCGAATACGTTAGGCACTTTTGCACACTTGTTAATACATCACCGACGTTTACACATCTTTGTCATGCATGCTAGCTGACCAAAATTGCATATGCACACTCGACACAATGCATTCACACAATGCCCTTCACGTAATCGCTTGCAGAATAGTTGCAAAATATGCTACCTGAAAAATGCAATAACCCCTGGTATGAATATAATTGGTTTTTGTGACACTATTAATATAAAAACAAGCTGATGATTATATCTGCTTCCGATGCATTTTTTACTTTGCATTTGTATTATATATTCTGTATATGTATTTGTATTATATATTCAGGCTTATGACCGACAATCCTTTTGAAAATTAAATATCTTTACGTAGAAAACGATTCTGCCACTTATTTCAGAAGGGATAATTTATTGTAATTCAAGTGAAAATGTCTCCATCACGATACAACTTAGCTGTCCTCTCCAAGTTCTTAACAGCATGGTTTTTTTAAATTAATATTATTACATTCCACAATTTTACTTGAAGCCAACTACAAACAGCATTGTAATGCCATTGTGCACGGTGTATGTGTATCATTAAGGGGCACCTGTTTATTTAAATGTGCAATTTCCTACCGCTTCCCTTGGCCACGTATTATCATTATTTGCACTGTATTTCCACGTAAATTGCATTACAACCAACAAGCAGAATTGGGTTGTACGTTGGGTAATATTTTCAACAAAATGTCAACGCGGTTTAATACAATTCCGATAGGTATGGGTGCCGACCGCAAACATCTCTTACAAACCATATCTAATTACTCACCATAATCTAATACACCCCCTTAATCAACAAGAGTGTGCCTTCCATTATGCGGGCTCACACGCGGTGCGGTGTGCTTGCGAACGTAATGGAAGGAACGTATGATCGCTGTTCCGAGCGCCCTTCTCCACAACCACATTTTGTGAACCGCATTTGTGCAACCACATTTCTACAACGGAAACGTGCGCAACCACGATTCCGGACGACCACATTCTCTTGCAACGACATTCGCTCTCCCCGCGTTTCCATAACCGCGTTGACCCATTCCTTGATTAGCATTTCTCCATAATTTCCACGACCCCAATGCGCACAACCGCATTTCCGATAACCAAATTTAAGCAACGGCAATTCAACGACCGCTCCACCCCCCCCCCCGTTCCCCAGGGTGGCGAGCAGCAGGCCGGTGTGCCGTGCAGCAGCCCGCCCCGGGGCACCGAGACGGCCCAGGCCAGGGAGGCCGAGCCCACGGCTATGCACGAGGAGAGCGGTGGGGCCGGCCGGGGCGACGGCGGCGGGGTCGGGAGGGGCCACGGCGGCCGCCCCGGGGACTCCGTGGGGGGTCAGGTCGTGGTCAAACAGGAGCCCGTCGACGTGGAGCAGGAGGAGGACGGGGAGGTGGAGGTGGGGCAGCAGCAGGGGATGGAGGAGGCGGACGAGGAGCGGCGGCAGCAGATGCAGGTGGCCAAGCAGCAGCAGCTGCTGCTTCTCAAGCAGGTACCCTTGAAAGTTGCATTGCCAGTCCATAAAGGGGGAGGAGTGACAGGTGGTGGTGGTGGTGGGGTGTTAGGAGGTGCGGTTGCCGTTAATTTGGGATACGAGGTATTGGTGCTGATTGCAGAAATTACTTCATTTGGCTGGGTCAGGGTGGAGGTGTCTGTGCCAAGTCCAAAATACATTTGTGAAACTAATGGTTGGCGAATCAATGGTGAGCAAGCCCGACAAAAAACTGCTGCTGTTACAACTGTTCCCATGACCAATTCCATCATAGGGATGCCCTTTAGGATGATGGTGTTGCTCCAGTCCACTGTTTGACAACAAGATCAACAGCTTTCATTTAACGGGGCGCTGATGCTCATAACAAGATGTTTCAAAGCACTGCGCAAATTAAGGAGCACTCACCTGGTGGGTGGACTTTATTGATAACGTCCTGTTATAGCCTAGTAATCACGCCGTCATTGTCAGCCATGCTCGGTCCACTGCTGGGTGAAGGCTTGCCACGAGCCAATCTAATCACTCCATCTCCGCAGTGGACATGATTTTGGGTGCTGTCCCTCCCATGGTTGCCGTTCGGTAGTTCTTCTTGCCGCCTCCCAGCTGCCATCACTTCTGGTGACACGTGTTCCGCTCAAGTCCACTTATTTTTCCTTCACAGTCAATTGTTATACCTGCACGTGTTTAATAAATGTGTTCTTCCATCCGTCTCTCTGCATGCCGGAGCTTTAACTCGATGCTTCTTTGCACACTTTTGAGAAGCCTTTTCGTCTTCACCACCAGTGCCGGATTATCCTAGTAGCAAAAGTAGCTACACATGTAGCTACGGGCCCCGCACTCTCAAGGGCCCCGCGCTAAACGCTTTCAAGCTATCAATTCCGGTTCAGTGATTCTGCACTTGCTCTATTACTCTAGTACTATACTGCCTTTAACTTTTACGAACGACTGGGTGTTTGAGGTTAGCGAGTTTAATCCGGCATTGTTCACCGCCAGTAGTCATGTTTTTGATCCATGTGCCATAGGAGGAAACTTGCGATGATTAAAAACGTTCCGCTACAGGCACCTTAGTACGTTGCATGACAATATTGTGAGTAAATATGTTCCACATATTTAATTTGTATTATTTGTTAAATTCAATGAATGAATTACTAATAAGGTTATAGCATTATCAAACATTTTAATGGTAATCTAAATATGATCATATTTAAATAGTGACCAGATGTAGGGGTAATTTAAAGCCTCTGGGATGTTCTTGTTATAACCAGAAATTTTATCGTAGCTTTGTGAGAGATGTGGCTTTGGGAAGCCTTCATCTAGCAGTGGATTGACCATGGTTGTCGATTATTATTATGACGATTTAAAATGTGAACTGTGTCCTATGCAGGTATTGGCTTCTGCCATGGAAAGGTGGTGGTTACACCATCAACTGAGATGTGCACCATCCCATCTTTTCATTACTTGAATTTAAATAAAATTAAATGATTTGACAGTAGCATTGCACATTGTGCAGAGAATTGCAATGTTGGGAATGTTCATACCATTACTTTTGATTGTAAGAGACAATTGTGTTGAGTTTATACATGTTAAACTATGAGAGAACTAATACATGTATTTGTAACATTTATTTTAACAATTAAAAATGTCTAATTTAATGGATTACAGATGTAGAACTGACTCAAATAAATTAGGACTTTTGTCCTCATTCCGAGTACACTTGAACATAGATTTTGCATCAATGTTTTGTAGGGATACATGTTTTTGGTCTGATGGGACATTATTGTGTCAAATGTAATTATTTCCTGATTTTTATTCTGAGCTGATAGAATATGATCCATTCCCCCCCCCCCTGCCCCAATCGTTAGTTGGCATAATCGAATACAAATCAGCTGACTGGTATCAGGTTCCAATTATCGCATTACACTACCATTTAATTACCGACATAACAGCATCTTATCTACCTATCTCTGACGGTTAAGTATAATGATGTTTTATTTACTGAGAAAGCGATATGTTAGTAAACATTGACTAGATTAGAACGGCGTGTGTTAGCAAGCGGACGCTGTAGCTGAGGCCGAAAGGGCCCGAGACAGCGTCACTTAACATGTAAATGACACAGATACAATTCCCCAACTCGTAAAAGAACGTCTCCATTTTAAAGTTTAAACTTTCTTTTTAACACTACACATTGATTCACGTGATGAGCGTTAATACAAAACAACAAAGCGGCTATTAACTGAAAAGAAAATATAATGTTTCCCCATACAGGCACTAATCCCATATCTTATGCATGTTAAATGAGGCTCCTAGTTTCCTGCCCAACTGGCCACAGTACCTCTAGCCCGGTGTTTCTTAAACTTTTTTGGCCCGCGGTCCACTCAGCCGATGCAAACATTTCCGCGGACCACCCAGCCCCCCCCAACCCCACCCCTGGGGACAAAAACGCATTATCTCTAAATAGCGGTAATACAACATTATTCATATGACCGGAACATAAAAACACGTATTTTAAACGGAGCTATATGTTTTTTTTTGTGAGGGCATTTACATCTTAGGATTTGGCTAGTTTAAACAGAGTAGTTTACCGAACCTAATTAATATATATCATGAGTTAACCTTTTCTAACAAAAGGTATAAGCGTTGTCATCATTTCAGCATCAACCTCCATTTACATCAGCAGCCCTGCAGACAACCTGGAGGGAGCGACACAAACCGCTGGTGGTGGTCCGGAGTCCACACTCTGAGAACCACTGCTCTAGACAAAGACCATAGACAAAGACATGCTGCTTCGCACCCTTCTTGAGTGCATTGAATGTAAATTAAGGGAAAGGTGCAGCTCTGCACTGTTTTTTTTTACTGTCCTGCCACTGCTGCTGGAAGGGCCCCCAAACTAGAGAGAGCTCTAGAGTCGAGAGCCTATCGGGTATCTGGCCTACTCTTTCACATTGGCCGGAAGTCTTGGACGAGTTGGGAGTGCTCACACTTTGCATGCACAACGGCCTACTTTTACATTCAAAATAGTTGGATCCTTAAATTCCACAGTTCGCTTGATACCCAGCCAAACTGAACTCTGCAGTGCAGTATATAAGCAAAATTCTGTTGTGTCTCTACATAAAACTATTTTATTTTATTTCATTTTGCCAAGGAGCACCCATTTAAGTTAAGAAAACTACGGGCCCGATCTCAACCCTCTTTGATCTCATCAGCAGAGTCAAATCCATTCAATGAATGCTGCTGGAATAGCAGATCTCATTGGCAAGAGCACTCAATTGAAACCATAGGGTCCAGTTCAGCACAAAAACGATGCATGTAGTGTGTGTACTGCAGTGTGTGCTTTAGGATATTTAGGACCTTGCACGCGAAACATGCCCCCACATGTTCGTTTTATTGCATCTGTTTTAGTTATATCAAGTTTTATTTTTAAAAGAATTCGTTTTGAGCATAGCTAAAAGCCACATCGTGAATTCGCTACGCGGACCTCGTTTTGCATCAGCGGGCTCTGATCCAGTGATTACCTGTGAGGCGTTTCAGTGAGGCAGTACAATATACAGCTGCTTGCTCACACATTAGCCCCTAGAGTCCTTCCAATGCCTTTACCTAGGTCTTGGCAACAGCATGGTTTAAACAAACAGTGTTAGTACAACATGCTGCTAACATTGTTTTAGACATTAGTACATTAGGACATGCGAGTGATTTGAAACAGATCTGCTTAGGTTTGCTGAGACGTGTTCTGAAAGTTTTTTCTCATTTCTTGCCAACCCTACATTTTTCTTCTTCTACCAGGAACTTTAAATCCAGAAACAGCAAAAGGCTGCCTGGAGCTGGTGGATAAAACCACAAAGCTACAGCCAAATGTCAAGACGCAATCAGTTCCCTGACGTCGTGTGCTGTGCTTGGCGGAGAATCGAGAGAGCGCTATTTCAAATCGTCACGCTTTATTTAACCTGACCAAATTTTGTTGCTCCACCACGGATATGTTGCATTAGAAAAGGTGCTGACAAAATAGTTTCCATATTTAATCTCTTGTTTATTAACACGTTAGTTCGTAGCAATAATGCTGCGCGTAATATTATATCGGCAGTTGAAAGCATGAGGGGTGGAGTGACGGCGCAGTGATTCGCACGCCACGCTGTGAACCTGGCGACCTGAGTTTGATTTTCAACCAGGGGTCACATGAGTGGCGAGTAACATCTGAACTAGTCCTGGTCCCCCGCTCCCCCATACTTATAAACCTGCACGGACCAGCAAGGTGAGGTATGGTCAAACTACACCCCTGACCAACATGACATAGGGAGGCCTTCATCCAGCAGTGGACTGAAAAAGTGCTGTTAAATAATTTATAATTTATCCATGAGTGTTTTTCAAGTAAGGACACAACGGTTATCTGAGACATCAAATGTTCCAGCAGTGGGACACATTAAACAGATCCCATTCTTTATGATTCTTCGTGAAATATTCAGAAGCTGTATAATTTGGTCATCGTAAAGGCAGAAAGTGCGATGCATATATTGTGTAACTTCATCAAAATCTGTGGATGTTCAGTGAACTTTCAAGGATTAAAATAAATTCACTTTTGTCTTAATTAAATTTGTCTAACTTTTGTAAGTGAAAGCAGTGAACGTGAATTCCCAGTGGATAGCAAAGTACTCCCTGTGCACAGCCACACCAGATTTGCTATTGGCCCGCTTCTTTCCCAGGGCTTTAATCGTCCACGTTGTACGGATGTTATTAATTTCATTTTAAAAAAAGCTATTCCTGGCTTGATTGGATTTGAAGCAGAGGCCACTGCTAATAACCTCAGTGAGCCTTTCATTCACCCATTCCCTTGCTTTGTAATGAATGATACATGGCGGTTGCCACATCAGCCTTACCCACTTTACAAAATATTATTTGGGTTTTGCGGTAAAGTCAAGTAGAATTGTTTTTTTTTTTACAAAAAAACTACGACGTTTCAGTCGCAACACAAGCAATCGTCATCAGGAGAAAAAAGAGGGGGAAAGCTGCTG